TAGAATCACTGTCATATTCTTGATGATTTCTCATAAGAAGCACTTTTCTGCTGACGTAAATTTTCTTTCTTTGTACAAATAAAGCATCAACTTGCCCGGGCTTTCTCTTCAAATTCGTGGAGTTTTTTGTGCCTCGGCAAGTTAGTTATATTTTCCTGCGAAAAGGTACCTTTTATTTCACACAACCAAGATCACTTATTCCTCGCTTCTTTATTGCACTTGCTTGTGCGTATGACGTAATAAATTCGATAACTAAATTAAACATGGTGCCCCAGGTGAGGAGTGAATCTTGAGTTGTGTGGAGTAGAAATGTGATAGGTATTAAGCGTAAGGGCCTGGTGTCAATGAATATTTGTTTTTTTTAATTTTTTCGTAAATTCACGCGTTGAGTGACGTGCGTTTATATGCGTGAATAACGTTCTAACCTCTTTGCGTGTGCTGTAAATCCACGCTACAATGCCACATATCGTACAGGATCTTGTCATCGCCCTTGGCGAGCGCATGGCTGAGATCGAGAGCGTGCGAACTCATTTTGAAAAATTAACTGCGGCGTTTGTGACCAAGGACACCATTTAATTCCGCATTGATTTCATTAAGGCAAAATGCGAGAAAATACGTAAAATTAATCGCAATGTTGGGTACTAAGCGTATCGATGAACTGGAGTACGTTAAAAAGGACGTGTACGGTGAAATTCCAAATGCAAATGAGAATGTTCTCGATTACTTTTTATTGAAGCTGAGAGAAGCTAAATTGGCTGACGAACCCGCTGGTAGAAATAAGTCTCAACATTTCTTTATCTGTGACGGCAATGGGGGTAATGACCACCTTCCTTCCATTCCGCTTGCTAAGTTTCGGGGAGATTATGAAGATTGGGATATCTTTAGCGATACCTTTCTCAAAATTATGAGACAATCAGCGATGTCTGACGTTTATAAGATGCATTATTTGAAGATATGCCTACAAAGGTGAGCCGCTGATTTTTTCAAGGATGTGACTATCTTCTACTCTATCTTTATTACTACTTGGAACGTTTTAGAAGCACGTTATTGTAATATCCAGTTAAACCTTAATAAACTTATCGAAGTATTCCTAAATCCCCCTAAACTGCAGTAAAAGTCCTGTGTTGAGCTAAGAGTTCTCATTGATAAGGCTCAACGCATAGTACGAGCATTAGGTAATCTGAAAATCCCAGTAGATTAATGGGACCCTTGGTTGGTCTACATACTCTCAGATCGTTTGGATCAAGAGACTCGTGAGGTTTAAGAGGAGAAGATCGGTGACATCAAGAACTAGGCTATCAAAGAATCAGGAAAAAACCCGAGTGAACGGCCGTTTGTTTATCCTAAGTATTTGGCTTTATACCAATTCCTTAACAATAAGGCCCAATCATGGAGTATGGCGTTGCCAAAGACTAAAAAAAATTAGCTCCTCCTCTATAGTCAGGAGTCCCTCGCAAGGTGTTCCACATGGATCACCCTCATGCTCTCTAATGTCCTGTTTGCGGTGACCTTCATATAATCATGCAGTGCCCTGAATTCACGCACAAATCCCCGAAGTATCGAAGGACGGAGATCAAACATTTAAGAGTTTGCTATAATTTTCTTGGCCCGCACATGGCTAACAAGTGTTCATCTCCTGGTCGTTGTACTACCAGCAAGGATAAACGCCATTCTCTCCTTCACGATCAAGAGATTAGCTTTCAAGGTCAGAGACAAGGAAATGGTGGCGATACAAGTTACTTCCAAGCTACAATTACCTCACAAGCAGCTGTTCCCCTTAAATCCAGGAAGATTCTTTTGGCGACTGCTCGTGTTGAAATCATCGGACCAAAAGGAAGCCGTACATCCGTTCCCGCATTTTCGGATCAAGGCTCAGAAGTGTCGTTCATATCAGAAGCAATTGTGCAGTTACTTGGAGTGCGTAAACGCAGAACCCATACGCCCTTAGCTGGCTGAGGTGCCAACCCTGTTGGTACGGCAACGTCCATAACCTCGGTGATGCTCCACTTTTTTATAGATAAATTGTTTGAGATTGAAATAGAGGTGTTTGTCTTCTCTAAATTGACTTTGTCTCTCCCGTTTTATGATTTTCCAGAGATTGTAGATGGTGAGTAGTTTTCTGGCTTTTCCTTGGCTGACCCTTAATTCTTGCAATTTGAAAGGGTTGTTTCGGTGATAGGTGCAGATCTCTACGGGCAGCTTCTCTGATCAGGCGTTCAAAAACTGACACCCTTATGGCTGGTATCACAAGATACTGTTTTAAATTGGATTATTTCGGGGCTATTAATTTGTGAGACTTTACGGCAGGCAGCAGACGGCTCTACTAGGAACTTAGCTACTTAGAACATTGTTGTGTAAGCCAAGAGTTAGATGTTTCGTTTCAACATTTTTGGAATCTTGAAGAAATTACCTCCCCAATCAGTCATTTAGGACTAGACGACGAAGCTTACGAGGCATTGTTTTGCGATAAGCACCACCAAGCCTCTGATGGCAGGTGCGATGTGTGGCTACCCCTGAAAACTGAGCCCCTCCTTCTGGTGGCAGAGACATGGCGTATTGCGCTCAGCTCTCTCTCGAATATACACCGACGATTGGTGAAGGATCCGGAACTTACACGATCGTACCACGAGTTTATGAGGGGAAATGAGGAGTTAGGTCATATGGCTTGGGTACCTCCTTCAGAATTAGGTAAGAGCAAAGCCTGGACCTCATCACGCTGTTGTAACGAAATCTTTGGTGGCTAAGAAAATTAGGGTTGTTTTCGATGCATCTCGTCGTATAGAAAAGGGATATTCATTGAATGACTGTCTATTACCAGGTCCGACACTCTACGCTGATTTGTCATTGATTCTCCTCAATTGGCATAAATGTATGTTTGTATTTACCGCTGACATTGTCAACATGTTTAGGCAGATCACGGTTAATTTACAAGATCAGGATCTCCAACGGATCGTCTGGGCTCCGAACGCTTAATCGGACCCTATTGATTATCGCTTGTCTACAGTAACTTACAGTACAGCTTGCACCCCGTACCTGGTCATCCGGACATTGCATCAATCGATAGGAGACGAAGGAGCATGGTGTTCGTTAGCTGTCTAGTGCCTCCGATCAGAGACGTATGTGTATGATATATTCGCTGGATCTGACGATTTGACCACTGTGGTTGAGACTAGAAATTAACTGATACAAATTCTAGCCTTAGACGGTATTGAATTAGATAAGCGGGCCTCTAATCATCCAGAAGTACTTTTCAAAAAGTCGCAACAAGTCGGAGCCCAGCAGATCGATGATGACTCGTCGGTTAAGACCTTGGGAGTACAATGGAGCCCGTCGCACGATGCGTTTGGATTTCAAGTGGCTGATTTTTAAGGTTTATGTGCGGCGAGCACCAAATGCACTGTGCTCCGTAATATTTCCCAACTATTTGACCTCCTTGGTTGGTTATCCCCTATCACAGTGCCTGCCAAAGTGTTGATGCAGGATTTGTGGTTGTTAAAATTTGATTGGGACACTCCGTTACCTGGTCACATCCGTGAGAGATGATATGATTATTGTAAATCTTTAGCTGCCCTGCCATTTCATTCAGATCATAGATGGTTGGGAGTTACAGTAGGCCATTCATGTCAGATTCATGGGTTTTCTGATGTTTCCTCTCGTGCCTTTGCGGCAGCTATATATCTACGAGTGGAAGATAGTACCGGCACTTGCAGGGTTACTTTACTCGCTGCCAAATTCAAGGTTTCCTCAGTGAAAACTGTCAGTATACTCAATTAGGAGCTTTGTGGAGCTACTCTTTTCGTCAAGCTTGTAAACCATATAAGAAAATTAGAGTTCGTTCAGAACCTTCCTATTTTCACATGGTCTGACAATCAGATCGTCCTAACCTGGCTTTAAAGGCACCTCTGCCAGTGGAAAACCTTTGTAGCCAACCGAGTCTCCATGACTCAAACGGAGTCACCCTCAGCTAAATGGGCACACGTCCCAACCAAAGAGAACCCAGTGGACCTGAAAACATGGGTCTCAGATCCAGAGTAGTTAGTGGATTGCTCTCTTTGGTGGCAAGGACCAGACTGGCTGGGCAAGCCTTGTGTAGAATGGCCGAAGTCAGATAAATCCGTCAATGTTCATGCTGCTCGTACAGCACATGCTGGACCTGTTATCTTAGGCAGTTATTCTTCACTGACTACTCTCATTCGCTCAGTGGCCTATTCTAGACGCCTCATGTCCTACCTTAGATGTAAAAATAGGGACGTGGTAGACCGTTCCCACCAGTATCTTACCGTTGAGGAGCTCTCGGAAGCTAGAAACGCAGTCATCTGTATTGCTGAGGAGGCTGCATTTGCCAAGGAAATGGAATTGTTGAAGATAGGAAAGTCGTTACCCCAACGTCACAGGTTGCTCAAGCTTTACCCCTTTTACGATGAAGACAGTAGACTTCTTCACGTTGGAGGCCGAGTATCTAATTCTACTTTACTGTATGAAATGATACACCTTTTTATCTTATCTCATGACTCGTTTTTCAGCTTGTTATTTGTTCGTTTTGCTCACCGGCAATGTCTTCACGGAGGGCATATGATGACCTTCAGTTTCCTCATGCAGCAAATGTGGATTTTAGGTACGAGAAAGTTGGTGAAAAGTGTTGTACATTGCTGTGTAGTTTGTCAAAGGGTGAAACCACATTCAGCTCAACAGCTAATGGGAGATCTTCCAGCAAGTAACTAAAGGGGAGGGAGGGTCCTTTCGATTTGCAGCGTTGATTATGCTGGTCTGCTGGCAATTCGTGTGTCTCATGGTCAGGAAAATAAAGCATTCAAGGAATAAATTGCTATGTTTATCTGCTTTTCCACTCATGCCCTCCATTTGGAGCCCGTAGTCGACCTCACTTCTGCAACCTTCATGAGGGGATTTGAGCGAATGGTTGGTAAGCGAGGTGTCTGCTCTCAACTATTTAGCGACAACGGTACCAAGTTTCATGGAGCAGAGAGAGAGAGTTGCGAGAAATGTTTAAGCAGGCCTCAGAGTTTAACAAGAAAATAGCTTCCCGTCTAGTTAAGGATGAAACAACTTGGTCGTTTATCCCGGCTAACTCTCCTCACTATGGTGGTCTGTTGGAAGTGGGAGTCAAATCCATAAAACATCACCTTAAGAGAGTTATTGACAAGCATATCCTAACCTATGAGGAGCTGACAACTATCTTTGTACAGATCGAAGCGTGGCTTAACTCTCGCCCGCTCAGTGCTCTGAGCTCGGGAATCGACGATCTTCAAGCAATTACTCCTTCTCATTTCCTCAACAAAGGAGTTTCGACTCTGATCCTAAAGGTTCCCCAACCCAATCTACCTGAAAATCGATTGACTCACCTCCAGCTTTTCCAACGTATTCGGAACAACTTCTGGAAGGGGTGGTCTTCTGAATATGTTCTTGAATTACAAAAGCGTAAAAATGGCGGAGCCCAAGTGAAAACTTTGCGGTGGGACAGCTGGTGTTAGTAAAAGATGACAGGTACCCTCCTTCGAAATGGCCTTTGGGCAGAGTGTTGGAGATGCACGCGGGTCACGACAAATTAGTACGAGCAGTGACTGTAACAACCGCGACTTCAACTCAACGTCGCCATATTACACGGATTTGTGCGATCCTCCTCGAGAAAAAATAAGAACTGGAGGCTGATCTTAAGCTTCTAGAGATGAGTGAGATTAGTCCATCCAAAGGACGAAGCCGGGCTATATGTTCGCATCGTTTCTACGTATACTTATAAATTTGAACTTGGTGCCGATTGATTTCAAGCTGCGCACAACTAGAATAGAGGGCGTGACATGCCGTAGTTGGAATCTGACTTTGTCGTGAGAGCGGAGAGTGTCACAGAACACATGTGGCGATAATAACGAACAGATTAGACGGTGACACGCGAGAAAAGCCCTTTTAGTCTTCTTGATTCGTTTTCTTGGTAAATAGCAGTGGCGTATTGCGGTTAAAATCTACGAAAGGCAAGCGGACCTCTCAAGTAGTTTATTCACGAGTTTTCTCCTAAGAAGTTAATAATTCGCGCCAGATTGGTGGTACACAAGGAGAACGTGTGCCTAGTGATTGATAGGATTGTTCCTCCTGCGACCTAGCGTGGCTCTGTGGCGATCGTGGAAAATGTGGCGTGTGTGCTACTAGTGTGATTGAGAAACGCTTGTGTAGGCGTTTCATGGTGACCGCGTGATGAGGCACCGTACACGTGAGATTGTCAGAACGTGACTTGCTTTAAATCTGCCAGCCGAGTTCATGATCAGTGGCGTGTAGCTGTAACCTTCACGAGTGGTAAATTTGGTTCTACGACGTGGCGAACTGATCGGGGAACTGTGTTGGGTGGTATTTGCGCTCAAGGTAACCGGGCCTGTCTGGAAAACTTGCTCTGTAAGACAATACAAGAGAGCTTTTTTGGCGTTAAATAAAGGATCCTCGCGGTATATCGTGCGTGCCAAGTGTTTGTATATACATATATTTTTATACACGTTGTTTTCTCTAGGATTACTGTCCTATCCTTGATGATTTCTTATTAGAAGCACTTTCCTGTCAATAAAAATTTCCTTTCTTTGTACGAAAAAAGCATCAACTGACCCGGGCTTTCTCTTCAAATTCGTGGAGTTTTTTGTGCCTTGGCAAGTTAGTTATATTTGCCCACAAAAGTGTATCTTCTATTTCACACAACCATGATCACTTATTCTTTGCTTCCTTATTGAATTTGCTTGTGCGTATGACGGAATAAATTCGATAACTAAAATGAACAGATGACTTTCAAATTATTTAAATGCATATAATGGTCAATATTTCAAAAAACAAATAGCCGCAGTAGCACGATCGCGGCTGGCATAATACCTACAGCAGACTACTTAGTGCTAATAAATAGTCACCGTGAATTCTATTTTGTTGAACAGTCAGAACTAAGTAAATGTCTTTTTATCGACGTGTACTTATGCCAATCATTTTCACGTGACATAAAACCTAACTCTTTCGAAATAGAAATATTCCGTAATATTAAAAATAACGATCTCTACAGGTGTAATATACAAGTATTTAACGCTAGGACATCTTATATTATTAGAAAATACAACCCGTCTCAGTGGCTCTTTTTAACAGAAAATAAACACAAGATCACCGTTCTCTGCGGAGAAAATAAATGTCACCCGCCATCTGTTAGATATGGCATCGTAAAAGCAGACTTTGGATGCACCATAAACGATGCAGAAAAACGTTTAAAACGTTTGGACTACAGAACCAATAGATACGTAAACAACAATATATAATTATCCCACCTTTCACTCTCACGATATACGAACCTGAAAAAATTTCAAACTACACTTGTACGTATTCGCCACGACAACAAATGTATTATTCAGCTTATTCAAAAATCCAGACGAATATAATCATAGCCACGACAATACTCCTGATAAGCATTACGCTAGCCCTATCAATTCTTATTATATGTTACGTAGTGTTCACTATAATATCTTTCGAGGCGTTAATCGGAAAGTTGGATCAGTAACATCGACCCCGATTTTCACTGTGACTTCAAAGGTCTGGCGTGCGCTCCAGAAAATAATTCGAGCCTAGCAGCTAAAGGGATGGAGCAAATTTACGACTTTCCGAACTTTCCTCCTACAAGAGTTGCTCACAGCATAGGATCAATATATAGTGATGGGAAAGGAGTCACAGTCATAGAAGCAGGCACGAGAATGGCTGTACACTATTCCAGCGTATGCAAGGATAATTTAATGACCTTATAACGATAACAGCAACTTATCCTGTTATGAAGCTCTTTTAAGCAGCCGAAATGACTCAAGATATCTTGGAAAAATGTGAGCCGTAAAAAGCATACACCGTCAAACTTTTTTTTCAGCAACCGAGCGATTGGTCCCGAATTTTCTGTACTCGAGACTGTTTTCTTTTTCTCAGCTCCAATCGAAGTAAAGAAAGCATAGATAGTCACACCCGGTTCTTGTGTACCCCACTTAAAGAAGGGCGTTAGAAACAGTATATAAGCTCAAGCACAGCGAATTTTTTTTAACTTTATTCTCGAGCCTCTCGCGCCAATATTTTCGTCCTAACTACCCCCAAGGAAAGGAAGCTGCGAAATGGCACCGGCCGAACACGAAGAATTTTCTGTGACTCCAGGGGTCATATTATTTATTGGCCTGGGATTGCGAGCCTATTGAATAGTCGCCCGCATAACGGAATTAAAAGCCAAGAACATCAATCCCAACTACCGCGAGAAAGTCCGCGCAACAAAAACGAAACGTGCCAATGCAAGAAAACCGAAGACGGAAAAACATCAGGGTGAATAGCTCTTGCGGGCACTTACCCATGGTTTGGCCCACCTTTATCACGAACAACAAACACTATCGCAGAAAAGCTTTAAAAACAAAATACATCTTATAGTGAATGAAATCCTGCGGGAGAAAGAATTCTTCCGCAACATTATCAATGAAACCAGCTGAGACCTCGCATTGCCAAGGCAATGCGACAGGGACTGAGCTTCAGGTTTATGCATCACGAGATATTATCGCTACCCTGACATCTGAGGAATGATGCTTATGAACTCCTTTTCCGAGAGCAAGTGGCCGTTGACGGTTGTGGAATAACTCACGCTTGTCTCCTCGAAACAACGAATCTTGGAGGAAAGGCTAGTTTATCCAATTCACCTAATTTTGGCAATCGCCAAGATTGTGGAACTGGATTGCCAGTCTGGCGATTATGTAAGCAATGCTATCATCACCACATCAATTATATAGGTTTGAAGATATTCAAACAAGGTGCATCTTAGAGTACACCAAAGAAGACCACATGTTAAAGCTATTAGTATCTTAGCACAACACAACGTAGGGAATAAGTAAACATACACACTCACGACTGGCTTGATCGTACGTATGGTGAACGGCTGCGCACCAGACGCCGCGCAGAAGAGGCGGTGCGTGAGAGGTCGAGCGTGTCAGCGTGAGCCTGACGTTTGAGAGTTAGTTCTTGAGCGCTACGAGAAAGGGCACACGGTGCTTAGACTTAACCTCACACGATTCGTCGTGCACGGTGATACGACGATACGCGTGAAGTTCGAAGCTACTCAGTTCGTTCGAGCGAACCTTTAGATCCCTTTTTTCGGCCATCGTGGCGTCGTGGCTTTGGAATTTTGTTGTATCTTTGAGTAGCAAGAGGTTCTTTTTCTGTAAATTCGTTTACTTACTCGGGGCCCCTCCCCACGTGTAGACGATCTACACGTGTTGTGAGATATTCTATTAAATAAGTACATGCGCTACGTTTGAAAATGTAAATCGTTCTTTTTAAAGTTAGCTTCGAATCAATAAGTCAGCGTTATTCACGTACAATAAAGGATCCTGTAACAAGCAACTATTGTAATTAGTGTCAATTTGATTGTTCAATAAACAGTATTGTATAACCACAAAATAGTCTACTTTCAGCGTAACTCATTGACTCAATACACAAACGTAAAAAAACATTAGCTGCGGGATGATCTCGTGTTAAGAAATTCTCGACCGAACAACACGTAAGGGAACTGGCTAACCAACAACACTGTAAGAGCTGCGGAGGACCCCTGGAGCCCAGTGCAACTATTATCGATCCACAAAAAAAAAAAAAAAAACATTACAAATAAAAAAACACACACAAAAGAAAAAATCAGAATCATCACACAAAAAAAACCTGAGTGCTGGATATTTGTCAGAAAGATATGCAAAAACCATCCCTAAAAAAATACGGAAAGTCGGGATGACTTTCCCAACTAGAGGGGTTAATTCATTATTACTTGTCGTATACCAACCCATACGCAGCCAGCCTTACACACATGCAAGCAGGAAACCCGCCATTGCAAAAAAGCTGGAAGCGGGACGACACTCGGATAGCTTCATCAAAGATATGGTTACAAATATATTACTGGACTACTCTGGATTCATTTCTGAAATCACTATTAAATACCAAGCAACGCGAGCATCCAAGATAACGCTTAGAAACTCAAACAACGGGAAGTATATACCTTCAGCATCGTGAAGTAAGGAAGTTCATAGAACACCCTGAATGGGATCGAGTTGAAACTTGTGAACGAGAGTAATAAGCCGCGATTAGCACAGCTGGTATAACATACGCTGGTCTTTTAGAGCGGTTTCCATTGGGAGGAAAGAGTTACGAGCTACATGTAATCCCTCAGCGATGCAAAGTTGTCTTCTAGACATCATGCCCTGAAAAGATTGCTGCGCATGCATCATGTATCATTTCCAATTAGGTAACGGAGACGACACCATTTCAAGATGCCAGCTCGAGTGCCCCAACCCAGTACACCACCGGATTACACATTGTGATGTTTGCCATTACTGTGAGTCCACTTTGAACGAATTTGACTTCACCATCGTGGTCCAGCGATAACCACCTTTCTTTTCCCCTACTATCCCATCTGAATGTCATTAATAGTGCTTTTTTACTCCATTAACCTCATACTATC